ATGGAAATGAGTGTATTTAGGTTATATTAAATTTGAATTCTCACTGAGTTAATAGTCAATGGTCCAAGACTCTATCCAATTCTTTCCACAGAACATACCAGAAAGTATGGCTGGATTCCCCTGGGACTTCCAGGAAAATGAAAATAGATGTTTCACGAAAATTAAATGGCATCAAATTGTTAAGTGTTGTTTCATAGCTTAGCTATTGTAAATAGTGCTGCTATAAACATAGGGGTTCAGGTGACCTTTTGAATTAATGTTTCTGTGTCCTTTGGGTAAATACCTAGGAGTGGAATTCCTGGATCATATGGAAGATCTATCTTTAGTAGGTTGAGAAATCTCCATACAGCTTTCCATAGTGCCCAAATGCCCCAAAATAGATGACTGGATCAAGAAGATGTGGTATATATGCACAATGGAATATTACTCAGGAATCAAAAAAGATAAACTCATGCAATTTGCAGCAACATGGATGAAGCTGGAAGGGCTCATGCTCAGCAAAACATGCCAGAATGAAAAAGAAAAATACTGCATGGTCTCACTCATAGCAGGAATTTGGAAAACCCAAATAAGGGACCAGGAAAAAGACTAATTATAATTAAAAAAATCAAAATCAACAAGCAACTACAAACCAGAGACACACTATGGGGGCCAGGAGGAGGGAAGGAGAGGCAGGATTAGGGTCAAAATAAGGGAGGCAGGAGTGTATGGTGAATATAACCAAAATGAAAATGCATACATTGTGCAAAAATGAAAAATGATGTAAGAATTACATAAAATAAAATATTAAAAAAATGTTAAGTGTTTGGGTTTAAGGACCAGATAGAGTTGTATTAACATGTTGGTCCTTAGACTTATGAGTTGCATGACATTGGACTAGCTCTTCAATCTCTTTAGTTACTGAGAAATACAAAAGGAGCCCTGACATTCAGGAGCTGGCATGTAACTATCGGCTTGGACTTGATAGATCCAAAACTGATCTGAATTTTACACCTATGCTTGGTATTCTCCTGTGGAATATAAAATGCTTCCAGTACATTTGCATCAGACAAGACCACTCTGTGACTGTTCATGACTGATCAAGGATAAAACAAGACCTTTCTGTAATCATATCTAAATATAGATAAAAGCACGAGCATTGCCCAAAGCACAGAAATTACCAAACAACCCCCATACTGCTTAATATTGGTGATTACTTCTTCTTTACCAGCCACAGCTTTTGCCTTATTTCATTCCCCTTCTCAAATAGGTAAAATTTATTAAGATGATCAGTAATAATATTATCCCATTTTACTGACGGCATCCTATCTTGAGCAAAATTCTGCTTCCTTAAAACTACCTCCTCATTTCCTCATGTAAGCCTGAATCCTATAAGTGCTTTCTAAAACCTATTTACTGGTGATGGATGTGAAGTGATAACATACATTTATAGAGGTATGAACCTATACCCCTAAAATGTACACAGTTATAAACCGTGTCTCCTCAATAAATATAAACAAAACTATAGTTTTTCATGGTGTGCATTCTCCTGTAATGAACAACTTGTTCAATTTCAACATTCTTGTTTGTCTTTGGCCGGAGAGAAATGACACTGACTTATTCTATAACACCTATATCATAAGGTTGTGAGAATATACAAACTGGTGCAGTCACCACAGTCACCAACACTCAATATTGGTATTCTATTCTATGTCATATTTAAGGTATTCTGGGGGAATGAAGGTGCGAAGGAAATAATGGAAGCACTGCACTTTTGGAAGAGTTTTTGCCCTTTAGGTAATGCTCCTGAGAAATTTTTTGTGTTACAGGCACTAAGACCACAAGACGGGCCTCCCCAGTGGCACAGCGGTTGAGCGCTGGGTTGTGAAGCTGCCTGCAGCCTCTGCAGTGCTGGTTCAATCCCTGACCACCAGCGAGGGTCCCTCATGGTGCACAGACCTCTCCTGCCGTGCCAGCTGCTCTCCTCAGCAGTGTATTTAGTCAGTCCGTCTGTTCTGCTCCCCGCTCTGTCTCTGGTGAATTCTCTCACTCTCCTGCGCTTCTGACTGTACCCAGTGCTTGCATAAATAAATAATCTTTTAAAAAAAAAAAAAGATCACAAGACTCTGTTTCCTGCATACATTGTTTGGGAAAGTATGCCATCACACACTTTAATCTGGAAATCTGGTGAACCAATTCTTTAGGAGCTAACAGAAAAACTAAAAGTACAAACTAAAAAATGCTTATTTAAAGTCACCTTAGTTATGCAATGCATGATGTTTGTGCCTTTATGTGTGATCATATGGGGGGGGTAACATCTTCATGAGCATGGTCAGAAATTTTCATCCCCAGGACTATCCATATGTGCCATTTATCATCATCAAGATGAAAGTGGACTATATCTATCTGTGTACTCTGGATAGTTTTCTACTTTCTAGTATTTCTGCTGTCTTCTAAGTAAATATTTAGTTTCTGTTTTCCTCTTTTATGTAAGCTGCTTTATGTGAACTTTTTTCTTCAACCTCTGACATCATTCTGCTTGGTGACTACATTACAGCTTTAGAATTTGAAGGCAATGGAAGAAGCTAAGTCTTGCCCTCTAGGGATTTAAAGATAATACTTAATATCACCTTCAGGAAGAATTAATTATAAAGTGGACAGCCCGAAAGACTACCTAGTCCCTATGGGTGAGGGAAAAGTCCTACTCTTTATATATGTGTTTTTATTTTCCCTACCCTGGGATTTCTATTTATATTAGTAGTTTCCATTTCAAAGCAAAATAAAAACTAGGGGAAATATACATTATTCCAGAACATTTTTCTTTATTTTCTCAAAATTAGTGGAAGACCATTGTAAATGGGGGAAAAAAGTGAAAAAGAGATACACTGGCTTTTTGCTCCTCACAGTTCAATGAATAGCAGTTTCTTCTCATATAGTGCCAGACACATCCCTGAGACACCATGGCTAAGATTGGGGTGAATGGATTTTACTGATGTTGTTGCCATCAATGACTCCTTCATTGACCACTGACCTGATCTAATGTTCCAATATAATTCCACCCATGGCAAGTTCACTGACACAGTTGACAGAATGGGAAGCTTTTCATCAATGGAAAGCACAAACATCTTCAAAGAGCAAAATCCAGTCAACATCAAATGGGGTGATGTTAGTGCTGGATATTTTGTGGAGTCTGCTGCCGTCTTCACTACCATGGGGCAGGCTGGAATTCACTTTAAGTGTGTGGTCAAGAGGGTCATCATTTCTGCTCTTGCAGTTAATACCCCGTATTTTTGATGGGTATGAACCATGAACAGTATATCAACTCCCTCAAGATTGTAAGCAACACCTCCTGTGCCATCAACTTCTTTGCCCCAATGCCCAAGGCTGCCATGACAACTTTGACATCATGGAGGGATTCAGGATCACAGTCAATGCCACCTTAGTAACCTAGAGGACAAATGAACAACCCCTCTGAGAAGCTGTGGTATGATGGCCAAAGGGTTGCTCAGAACATCATCTTTCCTCCTCCTGGTGCTGTCAAGGTTGTGGGCAATGTCATTCTTAAGCTGAACTGGAAGCTCCCTGGCATGGCCTTCCATGTGTCACCATCAGTGTATCAGTTGCGGATCTCACCTGCTCCCTGGAGAAAGCTGCCAAATATGATGACATCAAGAAGTTGGTGAGATAGGCATCAGAGCCACTCCTCTGTCCCCAAAGGCATCCTGGGCTATACTGATAACTAGGTTGTCTCCAGCGATGTCAGCAATGACACCCAATGTTGATACTGAAGCTGGCATTAACTGCAATGATCACTTTGTCAAACTCACCTCCTAGTATGACAATGAATTTGGCTACAGCAGGAGGACCTTATGATCCATGGCCTCTAAGGAGTAAGTCTCCTGGACCACCAGCTCCAGCTAGAGTGCAAGAAGAAAGAGGGTCCCAGTTGCTGGGGAGTCCTTCCCCCCACTCATTCAACATCTTCAGAATCTCTTGGCCTCATCACAGTTCCATCCTAGACACCCTGGAGAAGGGGAAGGACTTATAGAGCTCTACCTTGTCAAGCACCATCAAGAAAGTAGACTGTATCCAGCAAAAGAGAGAAGTTTTAAAAAGAGACCCTGAGACAAGGGCAGAAAGAGGCCACAAGGCAGTAGGCCAGATGGAAGGATGGAACAGCCACCCACCTTCTCAGGCTCTGAGACCAGAGAGCCACCAAAAAGCCCCCAAAGGCCAAAAGGCCAAAAATCAAAGCCAAGGGCTATAACAATAAAACACCCACGCAATAGGGGCCTATGGGATAGAGCCAAACAAAGGACATTGCTGTAAAGAGGACAGGTCGCTGTTTGTGGGTTCTCACCCACACGCACAAATGTAAGAGAACTAAGGCTCCAGGAATAACAACCATGAGGTTTATTTTACAAATGGGGAAAACAAAGAGCTTACTGTATCCACAAGTGGTTGGCTGTCTCACTTAGACAATATCAGTGATTGTTGCTACCAGTCACAAGGAATGTTGGATAGCACTGGCTAGCAGTGATGGCCACTACTGGTCCCTGAGAGGTAGTATCAGAGACACCAAGTAACAGCTCTTTGTGAGTTGTTGGGTTATACCAACAGCTCTTTGAGACACCAGGCCCAGGTTCTGACAGAGGTCTTCGGTTTCTCTTCCTTCCTGGAGGTCGGCTGCTGGATGCTTCTTTTTTGTTTCTTTGGCGGCCAGGAACCAAGTCTTCCCCTTCTTTTTTCTTTCTCCAGAGGCTGGAGTATTCTGTCTTGTTCGGCCCCCTCTTCCTGGGCTGGCATTGTCTCTCCTCTTTGGGGGCTGGCGTCATCTCTTCTGTTCATCCCCCTTCATCTCCCGCCAATCCTTATATCCTCTTTCAGGGTGCCCCGCCCACAAGTCTGATTGGACCATTTTTCAATCTTGGCTGACTGGACTATTTAGCACCAATCAGCTTATAGCTAGCACCTGATTGGTCCATTCCACCATCCAGAAAGTACACTGTTACATAGAAGGTCTCTGACAAGCAACTGCCACAACTGAAAAATTGCAGTTACTGGGCTCTGAGGAGCAACTGCCACAACTGACTTTTGGTGGAGTTGTAGGTTGAAAACACCACTGCTCCTGCTGGCTCCCACCACTGAGGCAGCTGGGTTCCGGTAACAACCCTTTTCATTAAAGTCATGATAGGCAGGATAAAGCGGGACAGGCTTGGTGCAGTGGGTTTTATTGATGATGCAGAAGCTGAAGCATCTGATGAATGCTGCTGTCAGCAGAATGAGGACAGAAGAGGTACAGGCTTTAGCATTATTATTGGTTGTAATTTAGAATAATTAATACAACTTAGCTCAACCACTATCATTTGTAGATGTCAGGTTTTTTTTATGGTTTTATAGAAATGTGAACAACTATTTCTTTAATTTTCCTGACAAAAACAAAAGAAACTGCAAATGTGAGCAATAAACATGTACCCAGTGAGCTGCAGATTTATATTCTGAGTTACTGCAGCAAAACATGTACCCAGTGAGCTGCTGATTTATATTCTGAGTTACTGCAGGAAATTTAATTGCTAGGAGCTCCAACTTGATGGCTTTTTTTTTTTTAATATTTATTTATTTATTTATACAAGCACTGGGTACAGTCAGAAGCGTGGAAGGGTGAGAGAATTCACCAGAGCCAGAGCGGGGAACAGAACAGGCAGACTTGACAAAATACACTACTGAGGGGAGCAGCGGGTGGCAGGAGAGTTCTGCGTGCCATGTGGGACCCTCGCCCTGCGGCCGGGGATCGAACCGGCACTGCAGAGGCTACGGGCAGCTTCGCAGCCCAGCTCTCAAATGCTGCGCCACCAGGGAAGGCCCTCCAACTTGATCACTTTTCTACTGTCAAGGTGAAATTTTTGTTATTGGATATAGCTTCCTACTCAGAAATGGACTCTCTGGCCCTTTCACCCCACAATGTATGGTGTATACACTTATTTCATTGATTTCTTATTGTCTTTGCTATCAAGTGGGAATAATAATGCTCAATAGCAGGAATATAACTAATTGAAGAAAGAGGAGAATGGACCAACCTGAGAGAACACCAATTCAAAGTTATTTCAAAACTGAGGACACAGTTGTAAGACAAACAAGGGGCTGCCTTTTTCCCTCCCTTCCTCCCTTTCCCCTTTCCTTTGGCACAAATAACTCAATAAATAAAACCTTGACCCAGTGACCTAAGAATGTTAACTGGAGAAATTTTTTTAAGTTTTATTTATTTATTTATTTATGTATAGAAGAACTGGGGTGTAGGCCAGAGGCGCATGGGGTGAGAAGATTCACCAGAGGAAAGAGTGGGGAGCAGAACAGGTGGATCAACTGAAACACACTGATAGGGAGACAGGAGAGGTCTGCTGTGCCTTATGTGGATTAGCTCCTGGCTGGGGGTCACACTCAAGCCACAGCGGTGTTAGCCTGATAGCACTGAGACTTAACCCCTATACCAGGGAGGCAGTCAGAGGAATTTAAAAGGAAAGGGAATGAAAGTGGAGTGGTATAAAGTAAATCAGAAACACATTCAATTTTATTTGGACTATTTTGATTTTATCCTGCTTCTTTAAAGAACCGAATGTGATTTCTGTCTCCTGTTGTCTGTCTTGTCCTGTTAATGAGCAGTGAGGAAGCTGAGCTCCTCTCAGTTTTGGTTCACTGTATTTGATGCCAGAACTTAGTTGGTTTTCATTTATAGATTTTAATTTATAAAAGTAATTTAGTTTTCAGAGTCTTTTCTGTGAAAGACTTTGAAGTACAGGAAGGTTTTGAAATTTTTATGAAAAAAAAAAAAAAAAACTACAAAAAAAACCAAACAAAAAGAACACTCCTCTTGTCCCAGAGAAAAGTTTTGCCCTCTTTGTATATTCAGTTCTTTCTGATACAAGCATTTCTTTGTAAGTGAGAGCATGAATTCACTGGATTTCTTCTCATGTTGCCTCATGAACAATAATGCACAACAGTAATTTATTCCATGGAAGCAAGAGCAACAAGGATCAGAGAGCCACTAGTCTTTTATTTTTTCAATTGTACACATTTTTTTAATTGAGGTAATCTTGGTTAACCACACAATACTTGATATAGGGATATTGGTTCATATCTCTTCTGATGGATATTATTATATTACCTCTACTGTCTACCTCTACCTCTATTATACTACCTCTACTGCACCCATAATCCTCCACCATAGTCCATCGGACCCCCTCACTGAATTTTTAGAAAGAAATTTTACAATTATCCTCCCAGCTCCCTCGGTTCTCAGCTCCTTCCTGGATAGCTTTAGAAACATCTCAGAATGGTGAAAGGAGGGAGAGCTCTTCCTCTGGTCTGGGCCACCACTGGACTAGACCGCAACCATGAGTGCAATTTCTGACTGTTAAGGGTTTATCTGCTGTAAGGGACAGAGTGAGAACTCAGAATTCTAGTTCTGTTTCCTTCTCCTTTAGACACACTCCCTATATTTTTGTGCCTGTAGCTGACAAGTTACTTAATCTCTGTACATTGGGGTAACAGTATTATTGATAGCATTGTTGTGATGGTTAAATATATGTGTATATATATTTATATTACTGACTATATAATATTAAATATACATTTATTGAAAACATTTTAGATTTTGTATATAAACACAAAGTCTGTTTAGTAAAATGTTTTCATATCATTACTACAAACCACACATCAGAAGGAACTATATGCACACTTTTGTCACATCTACACATGAGAAAAGGTTCTTGGTTGAGTATTCATCTATGCTGCCTCACGTATTGAAATTACAAATGTACTTGGTATGCTCTGCTGCTGCCTGACTCAGATTCCCCTCCTTCCCTTCCTTATTTCAAGCAGAGAGCTATCTCATCTATAGATCTTTCATTTTGCAACTTATCATTATTTCAAACTTATGAAACAAAAATATCATGTAGGCTCCATGAGATGCTGGAGTTGTGAAGTTATCTTTACGTACATTATTATGAGCCTTGACATAAACATAGTTGATAAGATTGTCCAAAATACAAACCATTCACTCACATTGAATCTCAATCTATGGAGTGCATATTGTAACGTGTCCTCCTCATTTGTGTTAGACATTGAGACCCATTCTTTTTTCTTGCTTACTTTTTGTGATTTATTTCCAGTTTGATACCACTGAAATCAGAGAAGATACTCAAAATGATTTCAATATTCATGAATTTATTGATACTTGTTTTGTGACCCAATATGTGACCAATCCTGATTTGGAATTTCAGTAAGTTTTATGTTGGGGAGAATTGATTTGTACCTTTTTTTCAGAGGCTGGAGTAAGACCCTGGAGGGATCCAGCACTGTGTGAAGTGTTGTGCTGGAGTGTCTCAGGTTTGTGGTGCTGCTCATAGCCCTCCTCTCTGGTTTCCAGACCCACGTCTCTATAGTGTGTTGGTCATGACGCTGTGGCATGTCACAGGATCAGCTGGTGGCCTGAGGGCTTGGGTGAGGGGCATCACAGTTATGCACCCAATCTTCTTCACTGAGAAACTGGCCTCTTTAATTAGCTCTCCCTTCCCCATCCCATCATCCCCAGCTAAATATGGTAACACAGCTCTGAGATTTTCACCTCAGATCAGGCTCCTACCATGATCACAGTCTCTAGGTTCTTCTCTTACCCACCTTTTCCTGTATGGAGTTGAATTTCCTCAGTGTCCCTTCTGGTATGGCTCTTGTTAGCTTCTTCTGTCCAAGATAATCTTGTTTACACCAAGTCATGGGGTTCTCTGTTTATGCCCACTAGACTACTTTTGTATTTATCCTCCTGAAGCAAAGCAGGGAGCTGCCTCTGATGCCACCTTCTTTTGGATCCCACAACTCTTTTTATTCAAAGTTGGACATCTTGTATAGACAGCACAGATTGAGGCATATAATTTCATCCTTGTAATTTAGAGGCTAGACCTTGACAAAAAGATAGAGGCTGGGGCCCTGGGTGACATAACAGGGGGAAGAACTGTGACTTCAGGAGACATAGGACCCTCAGGAGACATAACATGAGAGAAAATCAAAAACAAGGAAAAAAGTCCATGACACTATCACTTGTTAATCTGTTAGGACATTGGCCAAGGTTGACCAATCAAGAAACTGCATGACCTCCACAGCTCATGCCCTAGACCCAAAACTTGAGCATAAATATAACCCCCCAGCAGCAAACCATTCAGAACCCCTACTGTGTAGGAGTAAGCTTCTTATCTGTCCTTGCATAACTTTTCTCTGGCCTGCTTGCTGCTTTCAGGAGCTAACCTGTTTCTTGAACCCTTGCAGCTTTGCTCCCAGGAGCTGGCCTGTGTCTTTAAATAAAGGTCCTTCAGCTTGCTTGATGACTGCTGTTTGCATGTGGTATTTCAATCCTTTGTTACCCCAGCGGTGGTTTCCAGTTCAGCATATCATGTCATGTCACTTTATGATGGATATACCTTTCTTTTCTTAGGTCTAGTTAGGATTTTAGTAGGGTTTGAGTTTTGTTGGCTCCATGATTACTCTCATGTCACCAAAGTTTCAAATTACCCTAGTGTTTGCTTCCTTTTGGGAATGGGGGCTTGCAGGAGGGGTACTTCAATGTCTGCACCACGATCAGTTTAAGTCTCTCATTTGCAAAGTACCTCCATGGTGATCTTTCTATGTTTTTACCCTTTTCCCAACAAGACAATAGTGTTAACTTGTTACAGGGATAATAGCACATATCTTTTCTGATTAAGCTCTAATATGCTATAGATACAGTGTGCCTGTTTCTTAGAAATCTGGCTATCTCAGTGACCTTAATTCAACCCAGTGTAGGTCTATGAACAACATGTGTATATTCCCCTCCCCTAGGGATAGATGGTATTTTCAGTGCCCTTCTTTCAACATCAATGGATTTTTATTAGTGACCTAAGGCAACAGATTTTTTTTTTTATCCTTTACCTGGTAGTTTAAAGTTTTTGTTCCATAGAGAAGGCTCTAGCTAACATTTCATACCTTTGCTGTCCTTGAAATCAGGCTACACAATTAGTGAGGCTTTCTTAGACATCTTGCTATTGTTTGATGAGTATCTAGTGAGATCTATCTTCATGGAGTCTAAGGTTATGTGTTATTTCTCCTTGTTTCTCCAGTCCACAGGGGCTCATGGTAGACAACATTTGCTTTTAATGAGTCACAAAAATATCTGGCTCAATTCTTAACAGGTATTGCAGCATTTTTCTCAAGTGAGCAAGTGCTTCTATGCTGCTCTCCTTAGTGGTGACTATTTTCGCTATTAACTTC